TATTTTAGGATAATGCGCTAAATTTTGCACGTTTTAATGTCCCTTTATTTAATCCATGATTTACAATCTTCGATAACTTTCAGTTTGCTATTGTATTTTCGCAGTTGGAAAAAAGGATGAAATTACACAAGTTTGTGTTCGCTTGTTCTACTCATTACACATTCAACAATTGATGAGAAATCATTGAAAGGGACAGCGAACAGTTGCAGTGATACCATTTTCTGATGTAGGAATTCTAAATCCTGAAATTTCATGCGCTCTTTTATCTCACCACCTGGTCAACAGTTGCAGATTAGCGCATAACTTTTCGGCGGCTTGGAGCATGGGGTCAAAGGATAGCGGCTTGATTCCCTCCTTTCACTGTGAATATGACGAACAAAGAAAGCGGACAAAATATACAGTTCCTCAGGTAGACAAAGGAACTGCACTGCACTTCACTGCTATTATGTAAAAATGTGTAGAACAGGTGAATATGCATGTGACACCTGTTCTACACATTTGTACATAATAGCAGTGAAGGGATGTTCATTTATCTACCTGAGGAACTGTATTTTTTGTCCGCTTTCTTTGTCCGTCATGTTTATAGTGTTTCTTTCACCTCCCTGACTAGACCTATTATTTTCTGGCTCTGAATCGAGAACATTCTCCTTCTTCTTCTCCTCCCCCTCCTTCTTCTTCTTCTCCTTCTCCTCCTTCTTCTTCATTTTCTCCTCTTCTTCTTCATTTCTCCTCCTTCTTCTTCTTCTTCTTCCTCTTCTCCTTCTTTCCCACCTTCTTTTCCACCTTATTTTCCTTCTCTTTCTTCTCCTTTTTCTCTCCCTCTCTATCAACATCATTACCATCATTTCCTTTGAAATATGCCATATGATTTTAACAAAAAATTTAACAAAAAAGAGTTTAAAAATCAGTTTAACTAATGAATAAAACGAAATACGAAGTCCAATTGAAGTCCAATTGAATTGCAATTAAAATATATTTTGATTGACAGTGCAAGTAACATTATGCAAACATATATAATAGTGGTAATAGTTTTAGCATTTCATAAGCATCATAAATGCAATGCCCATGTACAGTACAGCATTGTACATAACACATTAAAGTACTTACTGAACTTATAAACAGTATTGATAAGTGATAGAAAGATTAATTACTGAACAAATAAATTAAGCTAAAACGAAATAACATCATAAACGATGACGAACTTTCTTCTAACAACTAATAATTACTATCTCCATATATTTATTTCTTGTTTTTAAGGAATGTTCACTGTTTTGTATCAAAATTAAACATACATGTGTGGAATTACACAAAATCCTAAATATGGCATAAAATATATCATGCAATTAAAAGAAAATTAGGAGGGACAAAATATAATTACTGGCTTACTGCATTTTTTCAGTGAAGACGCTATTGTTGAGACAATGCTGTATTAGTCAAAATCCTCTTTTGGCCCCAACAAAATTGTTTGGCATTTATCGTCAATACTGTGATCTCCAAAATAAAATCCCTAAAATACAATCCCTAAATTGTGATCAAAATGCAATCTAAAGTGCAATCCCCCAAAATGAGATTTTCGGAATAAGATTCCCAGAATGCAATCCGGAATGCCATCCCCAAAATGTGATCCAAAATGCCACCCTCTAAATGTAATCAAAATGCGATCTAAAATGCAATCAAAATGTGATCTAAAATCCTATCAAAATGTGATCTAAAATGCAATCTGAAGTTCCATCCCCAAAATGTGATCTAAAATGCCACCCTCTAAATGCAATCAAAATGCAATCTAAAATGCAATCAAAATGTGATCTAAAATCCTATCAAAATGTGATCTAAAATGCAATCTGAAGTTCCATCCCCAAAAAGATATCCCCGAAATACCATCCCTAAAATTCCATCCTAAAAATGTGATCCCCAACTCTAGATGAACAAAAGGCAAGATTTTATAGTTTTCATAGGAGTATCAATAAAATATATACACGTATTGATGCAATACAATGCATGACTAATCCCTACAAGGACCTTAAAATACATCTGAGTCAATCATTTATACATTTGAAGTGATGTTTTCATTGTATAGTACATTTAGAATGCAGGTTAAATGATGACAGTAATATACAGCAACAAATTTTGATCATTGAAGCAATGCTCTCAATACATTGCACTTTGTAAATGTGGATTGTTCTGATAAAAAGGCTAAGAAAGGCTAAGAAATCAAAATAGTGTGATGACAGGAATGAAAATAATAATAATAATAATAATAATAATATTTCTGCTTATACAGTGTTTAATACATCACCAATGTACAAGTTTTTAAGCTCTTTACAGATACCCTGGTCATCGGATTCTGGCTTGCCCGCACACAATATATGCACTTGCTCCACTCCATGGGGAGCATTCCAGCACAAGCTACTAGGCTCCAATTGCTATTGGCTTTTGCATCCTACGGGGTACCCATTCAACACCTGGGTGGAGAGTCGCAAATGTAGATCAATGTCTTGCCAAAGGACATTAGTGCTGCAGTGGGATTCTAACCGCAGACCTTGTGATCGACAGTTCAGTGATGTATCCACTCGACCACGACACCTCTACAAAATACATGGTGTGGGAACAAATTCGTCACATGACCTAAACATATAATTGATTGTTAATATCACAATTATGAGCAAGAATGTAAATATTGCATGGTGGCATAAATAATCGCCAGAACTTTTAATGAAAGTTTTAAAACAAGCATTCTTTTTTCCAAAAGGGCAAGTGCTATTTTAACATGAAGATGAAGACGACTTTGATACAAATGGAAATGAAAATGGTTACAGCAGTCACCCAAAGAAAGTTCACAACAACTGATAATCATGGACAAATTATATATGGATGGAAAGATTTTCTCTTAAAAACACGAATAATTTGCTGAAACTACAGATATCATGGAAAGGCGTAAAATGCAATTTTGTGGCTAGCTGTGTCTCGCATGTGACTTCACGAATCTTAACGCTCTACAGAGGACCGCTGAAGGCAGAAAATCTGGATCTCAAAATTAACATTTTTGAGAGATGATTACTGCGGGCCCCAAACATATTTTGAAGAGGGAAGTTCTTACATTTGATCAGTACGGCTTGCCCTTCGCAATGATATGAATTTTGCATCAATTCAAAACCCTTTTGATTCTTTGGGTGACTACTTTTACATGACAAAACAGGGTGACAAAATCAGAGGGTACAGACACTTCATGTGTCATTGATAAATAATAGCACAACAATATAATTCACGAGTACTGTACACTTACATAGGTGAAGTAATGATTTTAAAAACATATATACATATCCTTACAAAGTTTCATCTACGTCAATATCTTTTAATAGCAAGTCAGATTGCTAAATTTTACGAGTAGAAAAAAAAGAAGAAAATACTGATAAAACAGTATTCTTATTTCTTTAATTCTACAATTGAGAGTAGAAAAGATATCAATATATCTACAGATGTTCAAGTAATTAAAACAACATTTCAGTGATTATTACAAACAATGCAAATTTGTAACAATAAATCTAACCTAGACCACGTATATTGAAGTCTATGATTTGCGACAATACACAATGAAGTGAACCTTAAATTAACCATACAGCTAAAATAAGGTGTAAAATTATTTTTTAAAGATTTTCACTAATGAGCTGTAATTAGGGCATACAATAGACACTTTATGTAGAGAATGCAACAAAAGTGATTTCCTTTACGAAACACATTACATATTCCAGCCTCCTTAGCTAGTAACGCCCAAATGAAGAACATGCAGATGAAAAAAGAAAAATTAATTTGTTAGTATACAACAAACCATGGGAGAGTTGACTGTAAATATGCCACTATCCAGTGCCTACCAGTACATTGCCAATTTGAGATTAGGATTAGTGATTTCATGTTTTGACAATTCAGACGTAGCTATTTATTTGTTAAATTTATTTCAGACTTACGCCAATTTTTTCTCTTTTTTTCCAGCTTACAAACATATTAACTTATTACAGAGGATAGATTGTCCAATTTTGGCAAGTAAAATGCTGAGATAATGCAGTTACAATGTTGAGCAAGTAAAAAATGAGCAAGTAAAATAATGAGGATTCTGATGAGTCCTAAAAAAGACCTAGTTTTGGCAAGTATTAAAATAATGTAACAATAGTTTTCCTCCTCTCACACAAAACATTTTCATTTTGCTTACATATTCATGAGATGTTTTAATGTGCACTGTGCGGATATCAATTTCTAAAACTGTATCCCTTCTGTATACAGTGGAAACTCCATAAAGAACTCTGATATATAAACGAGCTACCTGATACAGGTATCTTTTGCTGGTCCCATCTCTTTGCATTTTTTAATTTGTAAACCCGAAAAAAGAAGGCAATTTTTAACCATGCCCCTTAAAGAGATCTGGTAACTTTGTCTCAGATTCTGAAACAAAAGTCTGGATTTAGCCCATGCTGCAATGATAATTATAAACCTTTAGGTCAGTCAGGAACCCCATGACTTTTACAAGCTGATCGCCTGTCTGATTATCAAGATATTTATGATTGGAATTACAAATTTTGAAAACCGTTTACTAAACGGTTTTCATAACACTACAGTTTATTGTGGAAAACGAGTATGGTAAAACCGGTCACTCAAAGATATTTACTTTTTTGAGGCACTTCTTGATCATTTTGAAGCGCAATTTTTTTAGGGCTTCAATATTACATCATAAGACATATCACAAACACTGATAACACGTAGAGCCGCGTATCTCAGATTTAACATTGTCAGACGATCTCTTTAAAGAGAAGGTTGAGTTCTGGGAAGAGGTGAAAAATAATTTTGAGCGTTATCATTGTATTATGGAAGCGTGAAAGAACATCAGATAAAAAATGTTCCCTGAAAAGCATGGCTCTTCAAATGCATTAATATTCTAAATATGGCATGTACCATCATAAAATTTGGGACGGATTTTTATGCCACATGAACGTGTAGTCTCATATACATCTTTCTGTGTACATGCATGTAACTTTACCAAAACTGGGCCAAATTTCTTATCATTTTGATGAATCCTGGGAACAAATAAAATTTGTTTTTAAACCTTACTCCATATGTTTGTAAAGTCCAGGGGGTGTTTCACAAAGATTGTAAGTCGATCCTCTAAGTTTGACTTAAATATTATGGAGACCCATTTGTAGCCTAAAATGAAGTATATTCAAAAGCGGAAATTTAAGTACTTTATACTCTTTATAAATTCCACATTAAGAGCAAGAAATCTCCTCCATAATAGAAATACAAATCATTGGAATCAACATTTTATGTCTTTCAAAATAACTTTTACAAAATAGTTTCAAAGATGTGGCTATCAGCTTTGTAATTTTTAAATCCATCTTAGAGTTAAGTTCGACTTAGGATCTTTGTCAACACCCCCCAGGACTCTGTCCTCAGGTAAGAAGGTTTGTAAGTTTGAGTACTATTTCTTGAAATGACTATGAATCGAAATACTCCGATGTTCTCTGTCTCTCCAATTAAAAATGGACTATAAAGTTTTTTTTATTGCTGGTTTGGTCAAAAAGTTCTAGTACATGTTTCTCCAAAGCATTCTAGAAATAGAAATACATGTATGCCATGTTCTTTATCCGGTAAAATGAAACAGGGCCTGAGAAGTTGATTTTATGGTCACTTTGGTCAGTAACTTCTCATACAAGCATCTTGAAATGATTCTGAAAAGAAATAGTCTGTGACATAAAGGGTTGTACGGTTGGTTCCTTTCGCTAGTTTGGTTCAGTAAGTTCTGGTACAAGCATCTCGATAAGATTCTGAATAGAAATATTCCATGTTCTCTTTCTCTACGAAGGACACAAGCGCTGAGAACGGACAAAGGCCGTCTGCCGTCATTTTACCCTTACAGAATTGAACCTTGTCTGTTTGATCCTTGCCGTATGCCAAGACGCGAAGGAAATGTTCCTTCGACGTTGCTCTCCCCCACAGCTCAAAGACAACCCGGGATGCGTAGTGTGGCCAGCCTGGACTGGAGAGCTTGAGACCATCGACAATAGGTCGTATCGTGATGTCGTGACCCGAGTTGAAGACGAAACGGGGCTTGCTGACACCTTGGGTGATCTTGTACATGGTTCGGAGCATGTCGGTGAGCAGCGGTTGGATGAACATCCGCCCGACCTTCTCGTACGTGCCATCCTTGACGTGGGACTGTGAAACCCACGTTTCCTCCAGGAGTTTATGGTAGACGGCATGCTGTATGGGAGTAATGGTACCCGATGATCCGTAAGGATATGGCATGTTGTGGCAGACCAGTGTCGTAAGAATCTCTGCTACCTGGTTGATCCCTGGTAGTGTCGTTATCAGCGTCGTCCCGTAAAGGGTTTGCGCTACACTTCTCATCACATTCATGAACTTGGGGTTGCCTCGCATCAGCTTGGCGTGCTGCGCTTCCTTGTCCTTGATCAAGTGGTCCAAAGCCGGACAGGCGCACATATCCAACGGGCAGAAGTTGACGTTCGGTACCGTCTTAATCCGTATCGTATCGTTCAAGGTGGCTTTCTCAAAGAAACCATACATGAAAGCAAATGCGCTCTGCTGCGTCCGCAAGTTCATGGTGCTTTGAAAATTACTGACATCCCGAAGCAACTCCTGGTTCTGGACCAAAGTTCTCCCGTAGGCCTTCCTGAAGAACGTCCCCAGCTCCAAGTGCTGTAGCCATCCGATTGGCGTGAGTTGCGATTTCTTACATATGCCGTTATGATTGACCGGCAAGTTCTTGAAGGTACCTAATGCCCCTGTCATATCGCCTTTGATGATTTCAGCCTGCATTTGATCGACAAATCGCTTGAGAGTGTCGGAGGTGATCGTCTTGGAGGCCTGTTTGAGATCACAGTTCCACTGTGGATGCCAGTTGCTGTTGGGAATGTCTGCGAACTCTTGCATCGGTGTCCTGTCGCCATGGCGAGCTACCACGTAAGCAGCTTTCAAGTTGAACCCTGGCTTGAATTTACCTACAAGAACAAAAAATATTAACATAAGTACATAACGTCTCTGGTTTTCTTTCAGTTTACAACAGTGGCAGTCGAATAGGTCAGGTATCCCGACAGGATTTTGTTCACCCAATATCGAAAGTTCGGGCTATACTGCATAGCAACATCCCAGGAGGGGGGGGGCTAGGGTTTTGTATCCTTGTTGGGGAATGTGCCCCTGGCTTTATTTATTCTAAAATCCCCCACACTTGGTATTAGATCAATAATTGTGATGCTCTGAACTCTATATGCAGGGGAGCGTTTCACAAAGACTAAGATCGACTTTAAGTTAGACTTAAATATGGCAGGCTGTTAATGCCACTGTTTGCTCTCGCCATTTACTTGCATTTGTCAAGGGACGTACGAATGATGGTCACAAATCTACAGATTTGATTTTTTGATAATTCATTATCATAATGGTGAGAGCAAACACTGGCATGAATGGCCTCCCATATTTAAGTCCAACTTAAAGTCCATCTTAGTCTTTATAAAACATACCCCAGATAAGTTAATTCCCATTATATGACTATATCTATGGACGACCTGTGGGTTTTAAGTTGGTAATTGTGCTGCATGTAGACTAGAAATGTGAACCTGTCTTTTTTTTAATCATCAGTTGCAATGTTAGATAAGGGGAAAGTTTCCTAACCTTCTTCTCCAGTTATCTCTCTATCTGGTGGATTACAATATCCTGTTTTGATATTCTCCTTGATCCATCGCTCTGCCTCCTCCTCTTTCATTCCGAGATCCTTTACCTCTACCTCCTCGTATTTCGTTTTTTCTTTGTTCTTCTTCTTGGACTTATTTGGCTTGGAATCACCTGAGGGGAAATTCAAATGAAAGAACTATTAAAAGTATGAAATATTCATTGTATAGAATATAACGTTTGAATCATATACCCTTATTCTAGTTCCACAATGAAATTCAATGATAATAATAAAATAATAATAATTATTATTACGGTATTCGCCAATGAGAGCCTCATCAGTGACAGTACTGTTTAAAATAGTGGTCTTCTTGAGGGTCTGGCAATTATTATCAATTTCAATTTCAATTTCTACTATATTCCAGCAAACGCAAATATACATGCAAACCATATGAAAAGACATCTATATTTTCAATAAAATACACACACATAAAATAAGTGGAATGTATAGAATTAAGTTCATGTAAAATGTAATTTAAGAACAAAATCAATTGCCAGGTACCCATTTAAATCTGGGTGGAGAGTGGCAAATGAAGTGTGGATTGGGCTAATTTCTCTACATCAGAATTTAGAAGGCAATTTATTTTTTAAACTCAGGTAAATGAAGACAAGCCTACTAAGATGGAGCAAAGAGCTCCTAATGCCTAAGAACTACACTTCCATTCATCTCACCTGTTTTCTTTCCTCTTCCGTCCCCTCCCACCCCGTGTCCAGGGTAATGTTTTCCCTTCCCCTCCTCCTCTCCATCCTGCATCACCAAGACTCCACCGGGGTGATGCTGAACTCCACCGGAGTGATGAGCTTGAGCATTGGTCTCAACATCGGGGATGATCTTGGCATGGAACCATCTCGCCTCCGGATTCTCGTTGCTTGGAGTCCTGCCTTGTTCAAGCGTCAGCCCTTCATGGGTGAATTAGAAGGTTGGGAGAAAAGTAAAGGAATCCTTTTTTTTTTTTTTTTGGCCAAGTTCCACAGATAAATTATTGTTTCAGATTCCCCATGGCAAAACTAAAGTAACTCTTGGGGACCGTGCTTTTGCTATTGCTGCCCCCAAACTATGGAATAGCTTGCCAATAGAAATAAGAAGCACTCCATCTCTCAATGTTTTTAAATCCAATTTAAAAACTTATTTGTTCAACTGAGTGATCTTATTTTGTAGAATTTAGTAAAAAGGAGCTCTTAACCAGCGCAGCTGAATATATTTTTGTATAAAAGCTGTGCTATATAAATTTATTATTATTATTATTATTATTATTTAAACCGTTCAAAATTAATGAACTGTTTTCAGTGCAAGATTGATCTGTACCGTTCTTAACGAGGTTGTCATGGATAAAACGGGTGATTCTATAAAAGTAAAAAACCATAGTGTTGCACAAAGCAATCCTTTTTTTTTGGGGCCAAGTTAGAACTGAAAATCCATAATTTCACCTTTTTAATCAATAGATGGCTACATGTACTTTCCTCTGAGTTCAAATCATATGATGCATTTTTTAACTCTTTGCCTCAATATAATGCAATAATGGTACAGGAGATATATAATTTACACAATCACTCTCAAAAAGTTTGGCCCAAACACATTTCTTTCCCATTTTTCCTACTATTCCCCCCCTTTTTACAGGGTTTTTTATACTCACATAGGATGATGGCAACACAACAGCACACCAGCACGAGGCAGACGCGTGTCCTTGGCAACGATCTCATCACACCGGAGGGCTGCCTTGATTGGCTACGATTCTGAGAAGGCATGTCACCTGACTGTGTCACCTGACCATGTCACCTGACCATTGTTTGTATATTGCTTGGCTTATGTGTTTTCGAGGAGAGGCCTTGACACTACCTCATTTCATGCCCTGCATTAACAAACGAGAAAAACAGTCAGTTACATTAAAGGTACTATGTACCTTTTGCAGCCAACCTCAAATTCTGTAGAACTTTGCAGGAATTATGAATATGTCATGTATGTCCTATCTGTGACATTTAAACGTTAGCAGTGTCCTCATATTCAATTTATGCAAGGAAACCCGTTTACTTGCTAGACTTCACTATCAGACACTATTGAGTGACTGACTGGCTTTTTTTCTTCTTTGGGAATAACATACATGAAAAGAGTTGTAAAAGGTACATGAGCATTTGTCTACATCAATAACCCACTTCTTGTGATGGCCAAGATTAAACTGATTGAATCTTTGCGCAGCATAAAACGTATGACCATTCGGTACAATTGTCTGAAAATCAAGACCATTACTTTTGGGTTCTATAGCCCTAAAGTCAATTTGACAACTAATAGTCATTATTTTCCCACTTGAAGACATTTTCAAGCCCCACCTTTTTTTAGGGAAGTTCTAAATTAGTATTATCTTTCAAATGCAGTTGGAATTTAACTTTTTCATTTTTTGGGCCTGCAAATGGGACATAGTACCTTTAAAAGAAGAAAAAAGAGAATAATTAAAGAAGCTATTGCTCAAGATTTGCAGGCAAAAATTACAGGCTTGGCATCACAGAAAATATAATCTCTACATTTATTTCATATACCGTTATTTTTGTAGTCATTGGATTGTTGCTTCTCATTCAATTTTAAAACTTAAAATATAATATCGCTGGTGGTCAAAAGATTTCAATGTATTTCAGTCACATAAATATGGACATATGGACACCAAAAGGAGGCCTATCATTTGCATTTCCATTCTCACAAAGGTTTTAAAGGTCACAGTAGGGTCCAGCCCATACTACCTGTCATACCTGAAACAAATAAAAGCATCAGGAAAGTTGTACGTGATCTAAACAGTCTTTTAAAGCATCAAGTGGTTACTTTAATCAGAAAAATCAACCACAAGAAGATATCCACAGGAAATTGCTGTTTACAAGATTCTTTGAAATTATTAAGCTATTCACAATGAAAAGGATGACTAAAAAGGATGACTAATACTGAACAATAACTACGTGAATGAAGAGGTGGTCTACACGTTCAAGAGATCCCGATCCTGAGGGGGGGGGGGGTATTTATTGTATTATGTTCCTTTGGATATGACGTTAAACCATACATCAAATTCTTGGTACCCTACAAAACTTGCTTTATACTACCACACACAAGATTGCCATAAGGCAGGGGGCAGCCACATTTTAGAGGGATTTGAATTTCTGCAATGCATTAATATTCCTTTTTATTACACCCAAAATTGTATTATGTTCCTTTGGATATGACGTTAAACCATACATCAAATTCTTGGTACCCTAAAAAACTTGCTTTATACTACCACACACAAGATTGCCATAAGGCAGGGGGCAGCCACATTTCAGAGGGATTTGAATTTCTGCAATGCATAAATATTACTTTTTATTACACCCAAATGTTTCAAGGTCCTTACTATTAGAGAGGAGCCAGCCAGCCCCCCCCCCCCCCCCATCACCCTCATTTACTCAACTCCCTTGTGAAGTGCCCCTCATTTTTATGATTTGTCATTGTAAACACTTTTATATGATATATCTCATTTACAAGGTCGATAATTATAAAAACCAGTTTGATCATAAAAAGCTCTATTACAAGGGAAAACATATTCTAAGAGCAGTTACGTGTAATTTAAACATGAACATGAAATGGAACCACTTCATGAATGTGGTACCAACTAAATACCTGTCATGTAATTTTAGTTGGGTGGGGCACAGGGTGCAAGACTTGGAAAGCAATACATCGCAACCTGACAGCAGTCAAATGTCCTTGGCTTGCTCTAAAAACATGTCATAGAAACCCTAGTGTGGACAAAATTAATCTTTAGGAACAAAAAGGCTTAAAAAAAAAGGAAACAAATTTTGACACAGAGGAGTAAAGAATCATAAGATGGGACAAAATTTCGATTTTTCATTAAATCAGGTCAATGGTAGTTTTTTTAAACTTTAAACACCAAAATTATAGTCTTACTTCAAAGGAATATCCTGGATATAGTACAAACAGGACCATGAAATTCAACTTTTGACAAACATGCAATATCAATAAACATGTTTACGAGGTCAAACTTCACGAATTAGCAGCTTAGGTGATCGATACATAAAAAAATAATGTGCCCCGTCTACATAAAGTATTTGTACTCCTTTACTAAATTGTAAATGTTAAAGGCACCTAACATCATACATGGGAACGGCCGCTTGGACCAGGACAGCTAGAGACAGAAGAGAATGGAAATTTCATGAGGAGGGCTTTGTCCAACGTCTGGATGAACTATAGCCTGATAGATAGATAGATAGATAGAAAGGCACCTTAAAACTTTGATTTCCTTTCTTTCTTTCTTTCTTTTCAGGAGGGGGTGGGGGGGGCAGGGTTGCTTACACGCTTATTTGACACAGATTGTCAGAAATTATCTAAATTTGTTCCACTCCATCCCCTCCCCCCCCCCACCCCCCCCCCCTTAACTTTGATCAGAATCCTGCTTCCGCCCCTTGGTTGAAATAGGACATGAACGTCATGAAGCCACACAACAGTTTAATTAAAGGTCAGTGCAAATGTACCAATTCCATTATCGTTTTTACTGACAGCATAAATGGGTTGGGCTAGTTTGCTTGATCGTTTGTCAGGGATTTCAGGATTTGTCTGGAATTTTTCCCAATTTTGCTTCCAATCCCCCCCCCCCCCTTTTTTTTTTTTCTTCTTTCTTCTAGTATCCTGGATCTACCCCTGGGTGGCATTAGGACATGAAGCCACACACCTACTAGACAAAAGGTCAATGCAAACTACGTCATTAGGCCTGTTCTCATCAGCTTGAGATATCCCGCTATTTGAACTATCCCGATCGCAAATTATCCAGTTAATTTGGGTCCTCATCCGCCCAAAGTGCAATTAGCGGGATATTTGGTCGAGATAATCATCCCAAGATATCTTGGGCTAGTTTACAAAATATCCTGCTATATGTCTGGTGCATCTTCACCAGCCCGAAGACTCCAACTATGCGCGAACGCTGAGCAAAATATCTAGAGCTCGAGTTTCGAGCTGATGAAGACGCGATTTGTAACTGCAGAATTATTTCCCAAATCAGAAATAGCGGGCTATTTGGCAATCTGGAGCTGATGAGGACAGGCCGTTTACGTCACATCGATCCTCCCACATTGACCGCATACCTATCATCTAAATGCCGAGGTAATTAAGCTCACTCTAGCTCTCACGTGTCTCTGGACTCACATGGCAACATGGGTCACGTGACCATGTGCGCTAGTTGCTGCCAAGTTTTCCCAATGTAAATAAGACCTTACCCCTGCTGCCCTACATGTACTTGAACTATAATATTACCAAAGTTAATTTGTTATGTACGTTTTATCTTGCTGACATTACCGTGTACTTTGGACTGAGTTGTACTCGAGAAATAATATGGAGCATCATTTTTTTTTTTAAATCAACAATTCCCCCCCCCCCCCAAACCCCTTGTTTGTACAAGGGTGCTATGCAGACAGGTGGTAGGTAAATTCGTCTGTGGATGAATCAAGACAAGTTTTTTCTAATGACATCCATCTAAAAAAAGACCAATATACACAAAAGTGTACAGGTCATACATGTAGGTCAATCTAGGCATTGTTTGCAAAAAGGCATTGTTTCTTGAATTATAAACACATTCTAAGGGCTAGTGTTGAATATATAGATTGTCAATGTCAAATAGAGAATTATTAACATGTGTTGTGGAAAAAAAAAGTGAAAATAAAAAATGTTGGTACTTTAAAGTAGTCAATATCGACTTGGGGGCCATAAGGACATTCACTCTGTGCTATTGAGTTGACTTTGTGGCTGCAGACCATATGGATGACTTGATATAATATCACATTGTAGAAATAGGACTCACATAGAGAGGCCAATATTCATGGGTTTAGTACTTTAGTACTTGGAAAAAATGCAGTTTTCAATCATAATAAGGCACGAGAACTGCGATTTTTCTGGCCTGAGAAAATCTATAGAAATTAGATTAAGAAGATTATATTGCTACCAGTACAAAGATCAGAAGAACTCACTGTGCTCAGTAGGCTTACCAGGACAAGGAACAGAAATCAATTTAAGAGCTTATTGTGCTCAGATATTTCGTGTAATACAGGCTACAGATGCAATAGCTAATATTTCAAAGCTTAGGGAGCAAATCACCCTTAGCTCAATCTTCTTTCCCGGTTGTGTATTTCAGGATTTCAGTATGAGTGTGGAAGGTGATTTGCTAAAACCCTCGATCTCATGGTTTAATCTTTTGTACATTTACACTGTTTCGATCCTAAATCCCTTAATAAAAAATAAAGTGTAAACATTGTAATTAATAAAATGAGCAGTAATGTAGCACAGTTCAGTTCATTAACTTGACTTTTTAGAGGCATCGACACCCAATGTCTTTCCTGGACCAAAGATTTGAACATGTACATGTACATGTACATGCATGAAGCCACTGATTGTTAGTTCCTTTCTTGCTGTCCCTCTCATACTTAATCCAATGTATACTTTGTTATTAATTTTTCTTGTGAATTTTACCCTTTGTATTATGTTGATTTATGAATGTTCGCATGTGTTTTCTGGATTTTTATGAGCAAATAAATTGAAATTGAATTGAATACAAGATATGCCTCGAGATTAAGCCAAATGTTATCATCAGCAAAAGTTTAAGGAACTTTTCCAAACGGAGGCGGGGGGGGGGGGGGGGGGGGGACTAAAACTAATCACTAACAGTATGGAATGCATGAAGACATTGATTGTTTAATTAATAAAAGATATGCCTCACAACAAAGCAAAATGTTATCATAAAAAAGTTCAAGGAACTGTGCCGAATGGGGGACTATAGCTAATCTCTAATAATCAAACAATACATACATTTACATTGATTCTGTTATCATATTACTAAGACTCTTGATATGCAATGACACAGATAATAAACAACAGAACCCTTTAATATCTGACTTAAGTAGCTCTAGTTCGTGATTGCCATGATGCAACAGCCACAACAACAAAATGAAGCAGAGACCTGTTTACTAACATATTTCAATTCCGCATGTTTTTTGGATTACTTCGAATGATCGGGCCCTCGCGTCCGGTTGGGTGATCGCATTACACAACCTTTCATGAAACAAAAGCGGAAGATGACGCAACCTTTTATAGATCTGCTATAGAATTTTCACAAAGCGTCAGGTAAATCGGACCAGACCATTTGTAGATGAGGGTTTGTTTCACAAAATTACTCCCGACATTCGTGCCTCACACATACATGCAGTGCTAGAGGTCAATACGTATCAGCATCGACTCTCATTGCTTTGCTGGAGTGATAAACAGTGAGCTGAGTAAATTAAGGAACACAAATTATTTTTCTTTCTTTGTTTAAATTTGTAATCCATGGCATTAAACACACAATTTTTAAACTAGACCTCTAGATTCTGTATCTTACATTGGAGTGTGAAGTTACGAAATCCTGAAACAACACAAATGAAAATGACCAAATAGTCAGCTTGTTGATTGCCATCATACTCATACTTTCTCCCTTTTCTTTCCCTTTTCGGCATTTTTTTTGTTGGGGACCCTCCGTTTAGCGTTTAAACTTAAAGCGCCCCCTTCAAAGTTCAAGTCCCGCTCATGATACATGCCATCCTCCCCTAGTAGATACCTCACTGCTCTTTGGAGCTACATTGTAGCCACAATCGAACAGAAACACTCACAATTCACGTCATATTAACTCATACATAGTCATAGATTCATTCAGAACTTTTAATTTAAAGACTTCTTACATTACGTGATTATGAACACATGGGACTGCACTTTATCAAATAAATTTTTAAAAAATAGAATATTTAACAGTTATCCATTAAGGCTGTGGCTACTCTCTTCAGAAAATTACACACAAAAATTGTACTTTCATTATTCTTAGTTGCACAGCAAGGAAATTAGTTTACGATTTAATTACTCACTCTCAAATTGATGACAAAGCTTTTTATCGCTAAAAATACAACAGTCTACACGTCAGCTTACGTATTACTATTATTAGCAGACAAAGAATGATTCCCCATTTCGGTTTGGTATAGCGCCATCTCTCATCATATCACTGTACTTGTTCGTTTTCCATTCCCCCAATACATTCAAAGAGCTCTCCAAATTTGAAATGGGAAATGGCCAATATGAAAACAGTTTTTAGAAGGAAATCCATGGTATTTTGAGTATCATATAGTCTCCAGACATTATTTATGGCACATCAGAATATAACATGATAATGTTTACGTAATTCACATCCTCATAAAAGTTAATTAATACCGAGAAAGAAGAGTGTCCTTGATGTCCTAAGTGTAAACAGATAAAATGCCCTTTTACATTTTATTCCGTTCAGCAAAACTACAAGGGCTAAAAAGGCTGTAGCTCTCACTTACAAATACCCTTTCCTCTGTGTTTACATCAAGTAAGTTTTGAGGCCTTAATTTCTTCTTTATAATTTTGTTTGAATAAGTCACTGTAAATGATTTGGCTAGTATGCTAATATTGTAAAATTAGACTGCGCTTGCCAATGATTGCGAAAGGTATGTAACAAATTTTTGTGAAATGGGTCATATCTCAATTTCCCTTTCATACTTTTTATCGTTCTACCAATTTCAACCTTTGGGTTCAATGTCATTTCCTCTCTTTCTTCCTCTCTTCTCTATCTCTCTCTCTCTTTAAAGATATATATATTACTCTCACTATAACCTCTCACACTTCCCTCTTCCTTTCTCTCCCACTTTCTTCTCTCTCTCACTCTCTCCATCACAACATCCTTTCATTCTCTGTACAGAATTAACATGTAGTCATGTACATAATCCTTTCATTAGAATTAATTTCACCACAGTACGATGTCTCCTGCAAAGAACACCCCTGTAGCAGTGGCAAGACGAGTAAGAAAGTGACTAAAGTTTGATATATCAAAACACAAAGACAAATATTTCAATTTTCACATGTTTTCCATTATTCCTTTATTGCCATAAAAACACATTCTCTTCTCATGAAGAAATATTCTTCTTTCTTCATACTCTTCATACAATAGAACAAATGTACAACTTGTTATAATACAAACATGCTTTGCATTGACAAGCAGAAGATCACTCACTGGGGCAACACCCGAGACAAAATGCTGATAATACAACCCCAGTTTGAAAGTTTTATCCACGAAACATCCAAGCACAATTTATTTTGTATTTCTTTCATAAAAACAGATAATTCCAGTATGTTTACTGGAACTATCTAATATGGAAGCTCAAACAGTAATCTTTTCTTGTCAAAAAATAAACAAACGATAGTTGATAATCAGAAAAATATTTTTTCGCTTGATTTGGGATTTTCAATGATCATTATTTACTGTACATGTCGGGGGATCAAACATATTCTTATAGGGTAAACATGCAAGAAAAAGTTATTGTCTACTAAATGCTTTACAAAAGGTCTTACTATATCAACACATATGTACATGTACATATGTCTTCAAGTTATGTGGCTCTAATGATGTGTTTATTATGGGGTAAACAGTGTGAAATAAACAAATGGTACAGCTATGCCTTCCGTATACCTAGACTTAAAATTTATCATCAGTAAAAATAGGATTGCAAGGATATTTAAAGGTTAAAGCATGATACCCCGTCACCTTAATGAAGTGAATGCACCAAAATCATGAGGTATCACACATGTTTGTAAAAAAATGGAGATTTAACAAGAGTGAATAATTACATGCCTATAAATATATAACCCGACATTCCCTATCTTTGAATATTAGAACACGAAATCATTGATATTTCCATGGTTCATTGAAAAACAATTACGGAAAATCAAAAGGCACTTAGTATGGACATGTACTTTAACAAATGAAATTCTCATTTAAAACTTCCATCAGATGTATATTATCATCCCTCATTTAAGTCCTGAAAATCTGAAATGGCATCGCTTAAAACTTGGCATGATCTTTCAAAACAATTGTTGTTGTAGCTTGACTAGTTGTAGCGTTTCAACCTTCAACCTAAAGATTTATGTCTTCCATCTAGACTCGTTTCTAAAATAAAAAGATCTGCAGTGATATCATAATTGGAGCAGAACAGTGAACAATCCTAAATATGTATTGCGGAGAAACAGGCCATAACAGCCCAAGGCAGTATAACAATGCAGACTGTTAAAATACCCAACACTACATGTATAGCCCTTCGACTGACCTTGCATTTTAGACCCCCCCCCCCCCCCCCCCCCCCCCCCCCGAATGGTCACCATTTCCTTTTAACCACATCAGCTGATCAATTTCCTATGTGGTGATTAAAGGTGGTTTTGGCAGTAAGCAATTAGTCAGCCAGGTAGCCAAATTAATGCCAAAACGAGCGAGGCCGTTATTATAAATGATGGGCAGAGTATTGTGCAGAGTATTGTGCAGAGTTCGTGATACCCTTTCACCGATACCCAAGTACATTGTAAACTGAATGTATGGAAATATATACACTGTCATTGATGCTGAATACATGTATAATGATCTTACGTGCCAACTCTCATAAGCGCTACTTGTAAACTTCCACCAAAATGTACAAATACAGTATACTATACTATGGACAATATTAAGTAAACAAATAATACATCTCTGTTCAATTTCATGCAAAGCCGTATGGCCATGCACAACAGCAAAATGTAGAAAAATAAACTTATTTCAGAAAAATTACAGATGCAATGTAATATACATGTAAAGGACCCAAGAAAAAAAAGCTGATATGAAAGTTGAAACACATTCATATTATGTTACATTTGAAATTTTGAATGCACTTAATACTGACAATATTTTTAACCTCCAATGGTCTATTCATCTCACTTACAAGGGTACATGTTGGCCGTTTTCCTTAATCCTATGGTACAAGTTTCTCCTTACAGTTTAGTTTTGCCAGGTTTCAAAAGTCAAAACTAAAAACTCTACAGTACACTTTGTTTTCTTCCTCTCTCTTTCTCTCTTTCTTATTTCTTATCTTTTTTGCTACCTGAAGAGGTAGACATGTATAAAGAAAGAAAGCAGTCTTGGATTTCAATAATCATTAGAAATAGGAAAGGGACGAAACTACACGACCCCAAATGATAAACATGGTGCAAATATATGTTGAAATGTTTGATAAAATCAACAATAATGATGCATGCATTGCACGCACGTAAACGTGTATCTCATTCCAGCATAGTTTTCTGATAATGAACAAGCAGACGACACAGTTTGTTCCTTTGTATGTCAAGAGCACTGATTCCCACCAGTTCTTACAAGAAACTGCCAGGAAAGAACGATTTCGAAATAAACAAACCCAGGACTTTCATAAAATATGAATGGGAGCAACTGAGAGAAATTTTGAAGAAAAAAAACAACCATCAACAAAAACATACACGCTTTAGTTTGTCTAAAACTGGAGGAACGTTCTGTTCTAAGAACTTACACAAATTGCAGATACACATTTTCTGGCATTTACTTCCTTTGGTATGAATAAATTTTCATTATTGTATTAAAGAGAGGAAAGTAAAAACGGGTAACAAATGGACATTTTGTTTAAACATTACAAAATTTCATTTATTAAAAAGTACACTCCTAACATGATAGTTTCTTGGGAAGGGGGGGGGGGGGGGGGGGAAGCTGCATTGATTTCAATTCATAGTACTGATGGAAAATGTTCCAAAGTCTGTGAAAAAAACTATCACGTTTGTTTTGAGGTGTGACAAATTTCAAGCTGATGACATATTTCCTGTTTAGAATCCAACATTTTGAGAAAGATTTGCAAGTCCCAACATTGTAATCTCTTTGGATAAACAGCCAGATATCTGTCGGTTGTCAATGGCCGAGGTCAACGCTTAATTAAAAAGTGGAAAACAAACTGTCAAATACTGTTTTAATCATGTTTCTCCTTATCTGCAGCACTTGCATTATAATACACCGGTATACCCAACATATAAATGTGAATGGAAGGCTCAAATGAAGCAATGAGTTGCCTATATATAACATGTTTGTGCCCTATATATAAATTTGAAATAGAGTACAATAATACCATGTTGGACGTAACCAGATAAGACTCCCTCACCAATCCACGTTTAGTCCATTTTGTATAATATTCACATCAAGGCATCGTATGAAAAGGATGATAAAATCTCTTCAAACTATAGTTCTTTCAAGTCTTATTTCATTGTTCTTTTCTCAGTTTCTGATGTTTGGGAAAGCTCTTATTCCACTCTTGAGCCAGCCATGGATCCGAAATGATAACTTGGTGGTGCAAGGGCATTCCTCGACTTCAAAGACACCAGATCTACATGTAAATCCAATCCATGCCCACTTGGGGGCACTTCTACATGTATGTATCTCTCCATGCTGTCCAAGATCTTTCAGTGTAGAGAGCGATACTCGAGAGCACATCTTGGATTTGAACAAGGGTCGACTGAACTCGGCCACGATAGTTTCCAGGATGCTATTAGCTTGTAGCCAGATTGTTCGGCTGAATAGCTCTCCAATTCTCTACTGTCAACTTTCGCCGATTTATGCAGTCCGCCACTGTACGCGATGATATCCATGATGATCTCCATGATGATATCCACGAAGCAGCAGCGATCCTGCAATGTTCATCTTCCTTGCTCCATTCTTTCTTGCGGTTCCAGCCTTGTTCATTTCTGTCACTCAGAAAAATGCTGCAGAACCGGCAGAAACACGAGGAGAGATGCAGGGCCTCTATTGCACATGAATCCCTTGTTACGATGCTCGCGTCTGTTTTCCGCTCAACATCGGTTGAAAAGGTAGACGACGAACTCGTAAGTGGCCATGATGATGGCGGTGTTGGGGATCTGTCGGACGAGGTGCGTGCCGAGACCCCCGTAGAGCCCCCTGTACCTCTCTTCCTTGAAGATTGTGATTAAGGTCTGGAAGAATGTCCTGTACTTGTTCCCTTCTTGCCTTAACCTTGTCCTCGCGACCTCTGTGAGAAAACAAAACCAATACAAGAGAAGATGATAGTAATGACTTAAGAGAGAGAGAGAGAGAGCACCTATGTCTGTTGTAAACACTAAAAAAGAAGGTCGCAACTACACCATATCTTCTTTGTGACACAACAATTGAAGCACCAATGAAAATGTTGTTTACCTGGAGCCACAAGAGCAATAATTCTTTAACAATATACATCGAGTTAATGCCTTTGTGGCTCCACACGATAAAAGGAAAGCATATTATTTTCAATAAGGTTCCAATACATAAAGTGTTGTATTTATAACCTATGAAATCGGAATCTATAGATCTTCCATCCCTTGAAACAATGACTTCATGACACTTTTACCCAATGGATATAACCCAACCTGCTAGATACCATCATAATCAAAGAGCCTCAAGACCTAAGGTGCTTACCGTGAGGATAGGCCAACGTTGAGGCAATCGTCTTGGACGTAGCTGCCGCCCCCATGAAGCAGACAAAGTCCCAGGGTCTGCGGTCGCTGGAAGTACTGTAGTTTTGGGCCTGGATGAGCTGCTTGATCTTCTCGTATATCACAAAGTGGATCATCGTTTCTGAAAGCCCGGCGTAAGAGGCGGTGACACCCCGGTAGAAACCTCGCAGACCCTCTGTTTGGTAGACGTGCTTTGCGCACTTGAGCATGTTGTTGTAGGCAGGCCCCTTCCTGTTATATAGAAAAACAAACAATATTTACTATCATGCTGGAATATTGATCAAACTTGAATGGAATGCAGTATATCCTGAACTTTTGTGTGGTTTTCTTGAAATATCTGCAATTCTATAATATTCATAATTCAGAGGGTACATATCATTTAACATATATGCAACAATAAGCAACTACTTTCATGTACTTTTAAGGCATTTCTTTTAAAACCAACGACTTGTATCAACTAAAAGTCATAATGTAAACCAAATTTTCATCATTCTCAGACAAATTGATCAGCATCTTGTTAATTGAACAAAACACAATAGTGTGAGGATTAAATCAATAAAATGACCTTAATCAGCTGATCAACAGAATAAATTGACCTCAATCGGTTGATCACGTAAATAAAATGTCACGGAAGTAAATGATGCTTGCGAGTGCTCTCGACCACGCTAAAGCTTTAAATCGCCAGATGTTTCCCAGTATCACAACATATTGCAATCATCCTCCATGCAGCTCTACCACCCTGCTATTTGCCCCCTCAGACCTAGAGTGCGTAAACAGACTCTTATTCTGACACTTAAGACTCTCCATTACATTTTAAGATTGACAAGGGATTTTGGCTGCTGAAACTAACAACAGATCTAACACAAAATTACATTACTACAAATGCCTGTTGAAACTTGAAACCAACAACCAACCCAACATAAAATTACATTTCTACTAATGCCTGAGTTATTGGTTGATTTGTAGTCGGTTTATTGGTGGTCCTACTGGGTCATTGCCCAGCTGGGGGGGGGGGGGGGGCGAGTCATTGCCCTGGTTGGGAGATCAATAACATGATAAATAATGTACGTACCTTTCATCCAACTGCATCCTGGTTTTTACCATCCAGATGGGGTTTGTTAATGAACATGAGATGAAACCTGGAAGAGGAAAAAGAAGAAATAAAATATTTTACTCTACTCCATGATTAACAATTAAAAAAAAAAACATCTGTTCAGAGCCAGAAGGGTGTTAACTCTGTGTAAAATGATAAGTCAATGTCCTTCCCACTCTTAACATACAACCTATGTACTGAAAAATAATTCCATGTACAATCCCTATCCTCTAAGTTTCAAAAAGCTGGCCATCACTATAGACTATAGATACAAAGAATTATTGATTTTCTGTTCCAATTTAAGCTCTCCTTCTTGTTAATGATTTTCAGTCATACACTTGATACAAGCCTTTGAAGATTCTATTTTTATCATTCAACCATTGCCACAAATACAATGCTGCTAAGCCTCTCTGCTACTAAGAAGAGATTGAAGAGTATTGATGGAAGAAAGACTCGATAGGCTTACCTGCGGAACCTGCAGATAAGAGATGTACCAGGGATGACTCTGGGGTCAGACGGGAGTTGAGGAAGCTCTTTGTGTTGGCGTAAGCACCAAAGTAGATGGCCCTGCATAAAGATACAACCAAAAGAACATGCATGAAATATTCAGTCTGTATTTGTTTTAATTTGTATTATCATCAGGAAGTATTTTCCGTTATATTGACAGCAGTGGACACTTGACCGGGTAGAGATCTAGTAAATCAATAAAACACAATATATTATTTCAAATCTTACGTAATTTAATGGTGTCTTTAATTCATCACACTGTACTGTGTCATTAACTCAGTATACATTGTAGTGGACTGGTGTGTACATGTTTATGGTTGCATGTGAATCGTATTTCAAGGGGATTGTTTATCATAAACCTATTTAGAATTCATTTCACAATGATCGAGTATGTGGAGTAAACCAATTCAAGATTCTTTTTCAATAAACTTCATTCAATGCTTCATGAGAAAAAAGTTCATGCAGCAAGCTATAGGCCTCTAGGAATTTATTCCACCCCTTCATGTTGTAATACAATAACAGAGTATTTTGTTTTTAAAGCGATTATAAAAGTCTGAATAGTTTATATATTTATATACAATTTTTCTTTTATTGACCTACATTACTTCACATGACAGATTCTACAAGTTTGAAAAAGTTTGAAAAGTTCAATCTTTCCAAATCTAAGTTTGGAAAATTTCAAGGTATAACTATCGATAACAACAATGTAGGCCTACAGTGGACTCTCGCCTCTTATCTTATTTACACACAGCGTAAACACAACCCTGAATATTGAAAACAATCAAGTCAAGGATATCAAGGTAAAGTACATTTTAGTTTAATTAAAACTCTATAATTCTCTATCAGCGTGTATCTGAAAATAATACAGATAGCATCGAGTTGTTTGTTGACAATGTAGGTACATGTAGTTTGCAGGCACAAACCCTTGTCACTAGCAGTGCATAACAGTGTCTGCACTGTGCGACTATGCTGAGAGCATACTGCATTGGCTCTGTACTTTAGCTGACACAGTCAGAGACTGAGAGAGCTAATGTACATGTAGTCTAGAGAGAGTATGACCCTACTTTAGGCTTTGGATTGGTGGCAAGTATCAAATTAGAGTCTGTGCCACAGCAGACTACAGTAGTTCTCAGGCTTTAGGAATTGTGGTCAAGCATCAAATTAGAGTCTGTGCCTTGCAGACTAGGCTATAGGCCTCCACCCACAGATACTCCCCAGTGCGTAATGGAAGAAAAGTCCCATGCCCGCCTGCACACTGGCAAGGTGATATTCATGCACGCTAGCAAACACACTGAAGGACAGAGCTAGCTCGCACACACACCCTCAGCACCCTCTCCATTGGCTAACCTTGTCCATGCATAGCCTGCATGCCAGGGCTGGCTGTATAGATACCAGGGCCTTGCGCATGAGTGCACCGATTCAAAAACACTAATCAATAGCAAACTATTTATAAGAATTACATTGTGTGGGATGGCCGATGGAATGGAGGGTTATGTCACGTGGGCCTGCGTAGGGGGCCTTATGAATGGAATAATAAGCAATGAAATATGCAATGAGTGAAATGTACAGGGATGCTTTCATGTGTAAGAGAATGCGCATCATTCCATGATCACTCATAGTAATGATTAGTCAATAACAATCATGGCAATCATGATGGAATATTACACTGTACTGCCGACATGTGCTGTGAATCATAGGAAGAGAAAGGAAAAGGATGCATAAAGATATATAGAGAGAATTAAAAAGAGAGAGAGAGAGAGAGAGAGAGAGAGAGAGTGGGAGAGAGATAGAGAGGGAGAGAGAGAGAGCGAAAGAGAGAGCAAAAGATAAAGAAAGAGAGAGAGAAAGAGAGAGAGAGAGAGAGAGAGAGAAGGGGGAGGGGACAACAAAGACAGTAAGGAAAAGAGAAAGGGAGTGGAAAGGGGTGTGATGGAATATTACAGTGCACTGCTGCCAAGGGTGTTACAGATCCATGGAAGAAAAAAGAGAAAGAGAAAGGATAGATACTGAGGGTGGAGAGAGAGGGAGAGAAAGAGAGAGGGAGAGAAAGAGACAGAGAGAAATGGAGAGTGATAGAATATTACAATGGACATGTTTGCTGTCATTGTATGAATCACAGCAAGCTTTCTCAGAATCAGGGAATAATTTTCCTCAAATTTTTTGATTAGCAATTTCAGCCGATGAATAAATATTTCAAATGAGATTCTGTACATTTCTATGGAAGAAAATTGCTACACAAAAGATATTTTGTATAGCAGTCATGCAAAAATGCATAGCAAATTGCGATGCGATACCAGGAAAATTATTCCCTGAGAATGATAAGAATGGAAAAGGATGGCAATAGATTTTTAAAAAAGGGTGGGAGGTCAAACTAGAAGAATGGTGTCCACTAGTGAGGAGAAAAGAAAAAAACTTTCCAGGAAGACCTTTACAGTTGCCTAGTCAGAGTCGGATGTTATTCTTATAAACTAGAGCCTAATGGCTGAAACAGTTGGGACCCTGATGCCTGGTAAATCTCTACACATTGGAAAACTATGATAACATTGCATCAACTTTGTCCAAACCTTAAAGTTGTATACATGTAGTCATATTTTAAAATATACATGTACATGTACGTAATGCATACCTGCCAACATTTGAAAATGAGAATTAAGAATTTTTAGTGCGGTATGTCTTCGAAAATAAGAAATCTGTACACTTAACAGGCGTTCGCACATGCAGCGGCAGTGTATAACTGGCAATACGCGGTAAATCTGTGCAAAAAAAGCGAATTTAATCATGCAGCCCTTCAACGCACGCAATACGTGAACTCTAACATCACGTCAAAGGATAAAACAAGCTTAATTTGGCTTAAGCAACAACACCAAAAAAAAAAAAAAAAATAAAAAAAAAAAAAAAAAAAAAAAAAAAAAAAAAAAAAAATCGAAATTTTGAAAAAAAACAGAATATTCCGGATTTTGGGGTCTTAAAAATCCAGAAAATGGAATATTCCGGATTATTCGGAAGGGTTGGCAGGTACGCTGAATTCAATTCGGTGTAGCGATTGTCCAACACAGCTCAGTTACGGCAACATTTGACATGCATCGATCAAACTATACACAGTACATGTACGGTACGGCCTCGCCATCGCTGCCCCACTCCACTGGCACCGACTCACCTCCGGTACCGCACTGCAGCGTGCGTTCACTCTGTATACCATAGTTCCGACACACTTCTTCCAAATACTGGATTAGACAATTGAAAAGTTAGTACGGTACGGTAAACTCCATGAATCCATCAAGCAAGCGTATTCCTTGGGATTGGAAGACATTATAAGTAAAACTGACAAACTTTTGCAAGTTTAGTAACCATTCACGATCACACGTCGAAGCTAACCCGTTCGCTCAAAATTTATCGCACGTGAAGCGTGCATGTTCTTGTACATCGCTTGTATGGGTGTGTGTGTGTGTGTACGTGTATGGAAAGTACATGCCAGGCCAGACGCTACACACACACACACACATAATGCTGATCTCTACGCTATCGGTGGCACAAATACGCTGCAAAACCGTCATTACAAGCCAAATGAGCTTCTGCGGCCATCAACACACACACAGTATACTATACGAGAGCTTTCACACAAATCGCGGCAAATGGTAATACAAGCCCAATTTGGCTTAAATTTCCAAAATGCGGAATCTCCCGCATTTTAAGGTCCTAAAATTCCAGAAATGCGGAATATCCCGGAAAATGCGGGAGGGTTGGCAGGTATGCGTAATGTATCTGTGCTTCCAAAGGACTATGAACAAGAAACTTTGTTCAGGTAGATCAAAAATGGGGGCTAGTATTTCAAAAGAGTGAATTCTCAGTGGTTTTCTTCTCAAACATTTACTTTTTATGTTTACGAGATCGCCAACAGTCATTTTGTTCTCCAAAGAGTCCTCCTTTATCCACTATTTATATTTGTGCCTTAACTGCGCAGGTTTTTACACTGCAAAGAAACCAGAGGGATCCAGTTTGTCAGTTACAATACTCAAGCAATAATAACACCCCCAAAACTTCCCCTGCTAGTACGATTCAGCACAATATTCATTGTTAAAATATAGTCCTGTTGTAGCTGTATGTAGACCTTGATATTGTATTCACAATTGTGCTCTGACTCTGAACACACTGCCAGCACACTGTATTGTAGGCATACATGTAACATACTGCAAAGCAGCATCCAGTTACATGATATTTTTAGAGCCATAGAGTTATGGACCTGCATGGCTACACCAGGTATGCAAGATCAACTGCTTGCCAAGTTTTCCCTCGTTATGTACCTGTACTGTGCTTATATGTCCTTTACTAGTCTGTAAGCACCAAACCCAATATTGGATGCTCTATCGCAACAATTAAATACAATGGTAATGAGTCTTGAATAAAGCCTAACCCAGTCCCTATTGGTTATATCACAGCTCCAGTACAGGGCCTGTGGACGGCAGTCTCTGTCTTTGTAGTCTACGAGCTCAGACCTTCTGTAATGCATTACGACTGGCAAGAGTTTGTGCCTGCAAACTAGTGCGGTACACTGCACTGTAGTGATATCATGACATCATTAAGGTCAATGGCTAGTTCAGGTCAGCTTACAACAAGCAGCGGCCTGGAATCCGAGGTAAACAACTTCAGAAGTGGCATCTCTTTGTCAAGAAGTCAATGCTAAAAGGCTGTAACGAGAGCTTATTTCAATTTAAACAAGCAAGATAGGCTAAATACATGTGCTGTTTGAGTAACCTTCCCCTACTTCAGAAATTCACCCAACATAATCGGGTGTAAACAAGCATCAACTCCATTACAGTGGTGTTAATCATCATTACCCCAATCATCAGGTGATTCTTGTAAGTCTAGGGCCCTGATGTAAAAGTCCAGGGCAGTAGCTGTTTGTTCTACTCTTTGGAGAGGAATAAAAGCCTAGAAAATCAATACTTTGATATGGGGCACAGAGTATCTGGGCTAAATGCCAATCCAATCCATAGAATTTAGCAGTGTATGTTGTTTTGAAAATCGCTACCACAGGCCTTACAAATGAAGAGGTATAATCATGCAATTGCATAATTTAGGAATGCATTTAGCCTATTAAAGCATGTATAATTAAGTCATTAAAGTGATATATTATCTACTTCACCTGTTTAAAATTAGTTCATTTTCATATTTAAAAAAAAAAGTTTTATATCAATTGCTACTATAATGAAAATAACAAATATATAAGCCTCTGCATGCGTGCATCAATCATAAAATTTGACTCCGAGCATAAGCTTCATGAGAGACAGGCAGGGGGAAATAGACAAAAACAAATATAGGAGATAGTGGGATACAAAGGTGGGGATGAAGAAAGAAAGAGAGAGAGAGAGAGAGAGAGAGAGAGAGACAGAAACAGAGAGACAGAAAGAGAGACAGACAGAGGCAGAGAGAATGTGAGAGATGTCAGGGATAGATGGGAGGAGGAAAACAAGAAAGGGGGAGAGATGAAAAGAGAAAAGAGGGGAGAGGGAAAACAAGAGAAAAATTTGGTACATGTAGAGGGGAATTGTAGACAAGAGGAAATGGGGGGGGGGGGAGACAGAATGGAGAGGGAGCATTGGACAGGCGGGCACTCATTATTGGCAAGTTCCTGCCTTCAGAGGAGATATTGCTGTTAGAGATTCCGCTGATAATCCGATATATACAAAAAAGCTATTTCAGACTCGGCCTCATACGCAAGTGTAAGCTTTGCGCTTCCTTCATCATAAACTGGAGAATGACGAGGCTGTGATGCATGGACAACAACAAACAGCTACGCCTATACATAATAATGTTTATTATGTCTTTCGAGATTACTGATAATCAATCTGGACACTTTACCTTGGGACACATTGGATGTTATAATCTTATCCAGCTTGGAAGATAAACAGAGCTAAGAAATCATATCATGGTCAATTACTCAATTTGAAGATTAGCTTATGAGTGATTGTTCAAAATGTTTGTATTTCTCAGAGGAAACATACAATGCCCATGTAGCCTCAAAACATCTACGTCTATACCTAATAATGTTTATTATGTCTTTCGAGATTACTGATAATCAATCTGGACACTTTACCTTGGGACACATTGGATGTTATAACCTTATCCAGCTAGAAAGATAAACAGAACTATTTAAGAAATCAGATTTGCTTATGAACGATTGTTCAAAATGTTTGTATTTCTCAGAGAAAATATACAATGCCCATATGCCTCAAAACAGTTGCTCCTGCCGAGAAGATAATAAACAAATGTACTTTTTATCTACTTTGCAATCAAATTGGATCCAAAAGAAAATACAGGCAAATTACAAGGTCTTCCTATACAGTTCGACGTCCCTTGATTTCCCAGCAAGACAAAAAGTAAAACAATGGACTGCTGTTGACAAACTAAAGACACATACACTGGGACCTCTGCTCAACATAATACATGGCGCTATTCCAGTCTCCATGTTGTTGTGAGACAAAAACAAAAATAGACTGTAAGTACTCTTTGGAGGATGTAACGGGATGCTTCTACAAGTGGGATTTCGTGCAGGGTCAAGGGTCATGGAGACTTGTTACTAGCAAGACCTGGATTAACAAACATCTCCTCCAATAACACACAAGACTGTATGTCAATAGTTAATATACATCAGCAGGGGAGGGGGGATTTTGTGCTAAGAATATGATTGGGGGGGGGGGGGGTGGCATGAATGACCTCCCTTGACCCTCGCTGTGACTACAAAAATGGAGGGCCTACAAATGTACAGTACATGTACACTGTCAGCCTGCACAATGCAATGCTAGTATGTAGCCTACCGTATGTTCACGAGTTGTCGCTAAATGCGAGAAGTAGGGTGGATTTTAACCTCACATCAGCTTGGTCCCTGGAAATCAGTTTGGATTGTGTCCAACTCTGGAATGGCGCATGCAGATTTGAGGGGAAAAGGAAAGAGGAAGTTGCGTTTCCACTGTAGTAGCCATTAGGCCAATATACCATTATCTATCAACGTGATTCACATTGCGATTCTTGGTCTAACTTTTCAAAACACGTGACAATATACATGCAGTGGGGTCAGTTGAGCACTTCCTTCCATTGTACACTGTCTGAGGTATCTAAACTTTAAATTCACTTAAAAACATGCATGTACTTTCTCAGTGGTTCTTTTTCTCTTCACTTTGAATTTTCAACCACATAAGCTGATATTTTTAAAAGGCCAGTGGATTTCTAATAACAGCACATACTTCTTGTCACCACCAAGGTCCTAAACCGCTCTATTTTACATTATTCTGCCTGTGTCAAGTTGAGTCAATTCATCTGATCCCTCGATTGTTTACATCCATTTTGACATAACCCCAAGCTTCAAACGTTATCAGATTTTTGAAGGTAGGCAAGCAAATCTGCGCAATCAGAGAGGCCATACACACAAACACACAAAACAAAAAATTAATCATGCAATAGCAAATGGGTATCGCTGTTAATCGCTACAGTGGCCTTCAGCATTGTCATTTTGATCACAACATTGCAGTCATTGAAATGGTCACTATAGCAAATGCCAGTACGTAATCAGTGACCTTTACTGCTACATGTATGTATTCCATAGTAATTAGTAGCCCACAATCGTACTAAAATCAGATAAATCAAACAGCGATTAAAGGCCTGCAATGACGCAGTCCCACAGTATATTACGGCTTTAGTTTCTAACGATTATCAGGCGCCTTGAGCTTTGGCGTAATAATAATCTTAGACTTCCTTACCTGGACGGGGCGACTCCCACAAGAGTTGGTCCCAGGCCTTTGAATAATGCCGTCGCTCCTTCCGCTTCGATGATTTGCCTGAAACAAAAAGTTGTAAAGGCAATTAATTCTCGGGTCAGTGTCAACAAATTACAATTCATTTCCAAAACTGGTTTAATTATAGATTTACAAGGCATTTTTTTTGGCACATGTGAGTCTAATCTAGTGCTGTAACATCACGGATATCTCCAATTCCGTTTAACCGCCAGTCAAAACCGGACGGTTTTCGGTTAAACGATTTAAAAAAAAAAAAAAAAAAATTTTTTTTTTTTTTTTTTTTTTTTTTTACCGACTCTGTCGGCAACTCTCATTTAACTCTTATCGTGCCACAGGGCTAATCCCCGTTGTGCCAGGTTGTTTTGGAGATAATCTGATTAACGCGATGGTTCTATGAATGGCGAGTGCGAAACACACAGCATAGCCCAAAAGAAATGAACAATAACTGCTATTACGAAAGCGCCCTTGCACCCACATGGCACTCAATAGGAAGCGTGCATGCAGCCTCATGGCAGGCTATGAGTTGCGAGGTGCATTTAAAGGGGCCGATTTGTGCTTGTGAACTTGTCACAAATAATAGTAACAATGTTGTTTTTAGAAGAATGTGTAAGATCATTAATGTAAATTAAAAACAGTAGAGGACCTAGGACAGAACCTTGTGTAAAAGTTGGATGAATTATTATTATAAACTACATATTGAGATGATGAGATCTATTACAAAGATTACTTTCAAACCAAGATGACAGACAAATTGGAGTGTTGTTCTAGTTTTGGAGTGGTGAGTCAACACACAGATTACTGAGCTGGGAGACATTGCCAGGCATAGTGCCAGGTGGAGGGGCATAAATCGAAACTTTAAAAAAAAATATTAAAAAAAAAAAAAAAAAAAAATTATTAAAAAAAAAAAAAAAAAAAAAAATCGGGAAAACGAAACCGTCCAATTGAAAACGGAATCCGCCATGGGCGGTCGGATACCGGACGGTTAAACGTTTGACTACAGCACTAGTCTAATCTACCCTTGTATTGTATCGATAATAGTCATGGGTGTTATTTTTATTTGTATTCACATCTAATAGTTGAAAAGTTATCTTATTGTTTTCATTATTTTCCTTTCATTTTTCAACAGCTCTATTTCAGATGTGAAAAGCTAATTTATCGGAGGTCGGGGGGTTTCTTGGGTGGGGTATATTTTCGCCCTCATCACTTTTACAGCTACAGAAAATGATTTCCCAATGCTTCAGTTGTTACCTTAAATTATTACAATGCGAGGAAAATCCCAGGTCATAGACATCAAAGTAAATCTCAAACTAGATACAAACTAGTACAGGGTGTTAATACATTGACAAGGGTCCCATGTACACCCCTTTCCCTTCTGAACTTGTTGTATACTGCACACAGCCCCCAAATTGTCGCTTTCAACCCCAGAAAATTATAGTAAATATCATACTAATAGGAGCTCCAACTACTGTATTTACTTACTTGATACATTTTACTATGCTACCAGTTCTCCTTCCGCAGTCTTCGACATGGATGATACTGCCCCCTGTTGACACGGAGATGCCACCGGCCGGAAGCGGTCTTAACGTGGTGGTGGACGACTGGAGCCGGGTCTTAACAATTTCTAGAGGACATGTTATGACAGCTCCGACAGTACCACCAACCCTGTAATGATAGAAAAATAAGGAAGAACAAATTGTCGTTAAATATCAAGTCTTTGGTACCAATTTTTTTGAGAAAAGGGGCATTGACAATCAAATAAATCTGGCAAGAGATAATAGGGTAGTGACTTTAGTAGTTATGTGCATTTATAAATGCACTGCAAGTATCATCACCATCACCATTAACATTACAATTGCCATCATCGTCGTCATCATCACCACCACCACCATCATCGTTATCATCTTCATTATTATCAATTTAAAACATTTTCAAATTGGACATCAAGGACAACATGTCTGCAATGAGCAAGTACATGGAGTTTTGTATGTATTCGAGAAAGCAATTTCGATCGACACTAAAAAAAAAGATCTTTGATGAAACCATAAAGCTCAAAAAGCCCTAAAGTCCTTCAAAAAGGATTTTCAAAATTGAATACAGGGAACAAAGGTAAGCAAATGGATGTACACATGTAGTTTGATTTTAGAGAAACCACACTTGATGTAAGAGCTTTGAATAAAACCATGAAATCATAAACTTTGGTTACAACATCTTTGCAGACTTCTAGCGCATTTGCGTCACAATTAATCTAGGGCAAGTGTGATAAGACTTTATTGTATGTTAAGTGGTTCTAAAGTTCTAAACCTCATTTATCTCCCATGTCAGTTTTTATCTCAATTCTCATCTCACACTCAAAAGTCAACAGTTTATATTTTACACAAATATTGACAAGACACTTGGTGGATTGGTCCTTCATTATGTAGGATAGGTATTTTTTTTCTTCCAGGGGTGGGTAAACTGGTGGGGCAATTTCAAACATAAGTTAAAAATCCAGCATGTTTGTATTAAAAAGACAATTAGGTCTACCAGTTAACACTGATATTTCATAAATATTTTTGGTTGAGCTTGAACATTGTCATCTTGACATTAGCCATTAACTTGTTGCTGAATGCTGATTTTCAAACTTGTAAGATCCAGATGATCCCCTAAATACAGTCAAAATTCAAACTTGTACATAGATTTTCTAGACATGATAGACAGTTGTACTCTGTACTAAATAACTAACCACTGTCCGTAGTCGTAGACTGTACCCCGTAGTCTGTACTAGTGTAGCTGATTTTCAAATCTGTCTACAATTTACAAATACAATCAGATTCAAAATTTAAAACTGTCGCTATTACCTTGATGATTGATCATGAAATGCATGTTTAAAGTTAAACCCACTGTGTACCAAATGGTAACTAGTAGACTGGAGTCTCGTATACTTTCATAAATTCATTACAGCTGTGAAATGAAATATCAATTTTGAAATTGTTGATTTTTTGCAATTTGTTACAATTTCCTTCATTTTTTTTTTTTATAGGTCTAGGGGGTCTAGATCTAGATCTACTTCCAGTTCCACCAAAAAATCTGGGGTTATCGTGTTAGATGTCCACCATCACTCGGATCATAGACAGTGCACCACTCACTTAAACTAGACCTAGTGTCAGTTCCACATTTCATCACTAGAATCACACAGACGACTAGCAAGAAACACCCACTTGCACTGCATATCCATCCAGTGATCCACACATGCATCCATCCACTCATTGATGATGTCGTGATGACATGCATCCACACATTCAACATCATTGTTTTTAATCTCTCAACTAGTTCTAGATCTAGGCACTCCCCTTACTATTAATTTATTGCCTTAATCCTTTTTGATTTCTATAACTCTAGTACAAATCAAGCACATGGTTAAAGTAAACCGACTAGCCTGGCCTACACGCGCCTGAGCTCCGGCGCGGCAAGCCAGGCCAGCGCGCTACCCTGGAATTATTCGAGCACTCACCCTCCTGCGACTACATGAGTCATGTGTGGGGAAATGGTTGGTCGATGCATCGTTTCAGTTTCAGGCATAAGATACAAATTTCCCAAAGGTTTCTTCCAATAATCTGTCAATCTGTTCTTGAGAAAAAGTAGTCCGATGTCAGTGCTGGTGTTCCTTCTAAATGGTGAAACTAAGAATGATATAACGAAATCTGATCAATGTCGCAATAACACACACGATTTCAATCCAACGAGACTCGACTCGACTGCAAGTTGTACACAAAATTACAATGCATTGCAAATTCGTGTACGCTTCAATGGGAATGTTTTGATCATCACTGGCAAAGTTCACGTAGCACATGGGAGAAATATTCCGTCGCGCTGATTGGACGATCGTCGGTAATGACGAACAGCATGCACAAGGTTGTCTGTGATCACGCGGTAACTTGCTTCTGATTGGTCAAGCCATTGCTTTAGATACGTAGGGGTAGTGATTCTCCGAGGCTCTTTGCATGTTTCGCGGGTTCCTCCTAACTGAATTATGTGGACCATTCGTTCAAGGTTTGTTTACCAACATAATATGAATGAGTAAAAGTCGTTGAAGAAATCGCATTGCGAAGATGGAAAAGTTATTTATGGAAAAAACGTTCGTTAAACCGTTATTTCCATAGATAATGACGTTGAACGTTCTGATCGCGATTTGCATAATTGTCAAGTTGACTCATTTGTTTTGGTGATTGTGATTCATTTTTAATAAGGTGTGAATGACGGCTATATGCATTGAGGAATAATTAGAAATAGATCTTGACCGCTATGCTAAAATATGTCTGGGAAATCTTCTATTTTTATAGTTTATTGGTGCATTACATGTTTAGGAATCATTCTTGGGATCGTTTCGTTTTTAAGTTTATTAACGCACGGCTAGAAAATTTGAATCCCGGGCTTCAGCGAGAGGAGCGAGAGTAGATTCCACTATTTTCTAATAGTTTGGGTTTCAACTCCAAAACGAAGTTATCCTTAAATATGAAATTAAACTAAAAGAGAAAATTGCCACTCCCAAGCAGAAAATTAATTTTTATCTCGAAAGATGGGCTGTGCTATGAGACTTCCGTTGGGATTCACTACCGCACCTAACCCCCGACCTAACCGCAAGGGGGTTGAGACGGTGGACATGGATATGGATGTGACATGGGTGTGTGAGGGGTGTGTCTGCTGGGGGAGGGAGGGGGTGAGGATCTAGGGCTGAGGGAGTAAGAGGGGTAGGGAGAGGATGGGCCGGAGAAGAAATAGGAGGAGGAGGGGGATTAAGGAGGGGAAAATGAAAAGGAAGGAGTGAGGAAGAAGCTTAGGGCAGAAGAACTTTTTAAATGAGGATGATCAGGGGGAAGAAAAAGCCAAGAAGATGAAGTGAAGGAGGAGCCTTGAGACTGAAGAGGAAGAAGAAGCCTAGAGGAGAAATATGAGGAGGAAGGAAAATAGGAAGAAGATCAAGAAGAAAATAAGGAGGTTCGCAGGGGTTGAAGCAGAAGAAGAATTGAGATCAGAGGGAGGAGTTGGAAGAGAAAACAGTGGCTGGAAAAAGAAGGGGCAGAATGACTTACTTGAAAAGAGGCCAAGGAACTTGAAGGAGAAGTTGAAGAAAAAGAAGTAAAGGAGGAGGACATTATGTGGAAGAGATGAAAGAATAAGAAGAAGGAAGAAAAAGAAGAAGAAGCAAAGGCATGCAGGATGGAGATGAGGAGGAAGAAAAAGAGGAAGATGAACGCCCTTGAAGAAAAGGAAGAAGAAAGAGAAGAAGAAAGGAAGAAGAAAAGATGATGAAGGGTATGGGTATAACAACAGTTTAAATAACTGATTAGTACAATCATAGCGGATCCAGTGCGCACAGGGGAGGTGGCTCGACGTAAACAGCAAGTCCACCCCCCCCCCCCCCCCTCTTTAATATATGCAGTGCGTCCCAAAAAAGAACGAACCGGGAATTATCGATGTTATATAACTTGATCACAATTATATTTAGTAATTAATGACACCGTTTGTAAAGATTAGATCCTCCTCTTTTATTTAATGCAACTCATATGATGCATATTTTATGCATCAGAGTGATTAAAATCAATTTAAAGAATGGGTACCAAAAAGTCATTTTGCGACCGGTATCCGAAATTCACATTTCCGGCCAGAGAGTTCATTTTTTGCCCTTTTCCCTTTCATAATTATGACACTTCAGGAAAAATGAGCCAGGCATAACAAAATTCTTTTTTGTTTTTAAATTAATGCTTGTATTTCCATAATTTTCATTAAACGAATTTGTTTTCACTGGCTGCCTGCCGTAACAACAAAAGAGTTGACAAAAACTTAATGTATGCATGGCTGATCGTCAACGAAACGGAGTGGTGAGTAAAAATGATAAAAGCTACTAATTGCTAGTCTTTCGTCTTCTTTGTTGTACCACTGAGTTGCATCAAGTGAAAAAGGAGGTAAGCTTTACAGGTATATAAATGATTGGTAGTTATGATAAAACATCGATATTTCTCGGTTTCGTTTTTCTCGTACGCACTGTATATAATAATTATATATTACGCAATAATAAATAAAAGGGGAAAAGGGAGGAAACTGAACTAATTAGGCTACCCTTTTTTCTCGCTTGCTTGTCACAAAATTTACGGATTTGTGCCCCCTTCTGCTTGGGTCCTACGGTACCACTTTTAACTTCACCATGATAAACAAATTATAATACCAAACGAACAACAACAACATGTACAGAAAGATCCAGGGACTTTATTCACCAGCTGGCTGAACGCGGTGGGGGAAGATTATGGCCGAGAGATGGCGCTCTCTCAGTCACTGTAGAGCTTTTGGAAAACTACATGGGGTATGGACTATGTTGCGTGTTAACTAGTAATCCCACATAATTCCTTTTTTAATTAAACTACTAAAAAGCAGTATCCCTCTAGACAATAAAACACTTAATAAATGATCACATCCAGACAAATTGCTTATGGTTAAAAACTGGTTCTATATTCTATAATTTCACATAAGAAACAATGATTACAGAATTATCAGAAACCTCTTCTGTCTATCTTAACAGTGACAGACAATTAAACTATCACTAGGCCCTTGGTAGTTACTATTAATAATCAAACATAGACAACTTCCAACAGCACATTAATGTAAAGGAGACTCAACTTATAGGCACTATGGTATTAATGATTACCGCTTAATACAAGTCTCGAAATATCAGGAGTCCTGTTCAGTACAACTTAAGACAGTACTAAAACAAGTCAGTTAAATATCATTCACCCTGCATGAATAATAACAGTAAAGAAAATACTAGGGCCTTTAATCTAAGCTAGACAGCGTTTAGATTTACTTACATAGGCACGAAATATTGTGGTTCAAGAAACCACTAAACAAATCTCTACTTGCGTAGATCTATGTGTACGGAATGCACAACACGAGAATACAACAATATATCGGTGGATCTAGACTATAGCAGATCTAGATCAGTAGACCAGGTATAGGCCTAGAACTAGTGCAATTATAAACATGTAAAATATGTGTTAGTAAGCGTACGTACGCACTCAACAACAGGCACTCAGTCAGTCAAAATAAGGCATCACAATGAAAAACAATGCAAAGCATCAATCACAATATAATTAACGTTACGTGAGTCATCGGAGTTGAATTCAGAGTAGATCTTCTTCAAGTTCTAGATAGATGTAGAAACTAGCTAGTCGAAAACGGTGGTCGATGAGCTGGTTGTCGATCGCGTAGAAAATGCAGACGATGATCGACGCTAGATGAACGATAACGATGATGCATGAAGACGATGACTACGTCTACGGTGATGAAGACAATGATGGTGCAGATGATGATGAAGACAACGATGATGAAGACAACGATGATGAAGACAACGATGATGAAGACAGCGATGATGAAGACAACGCTGGTGAAGGCGATGATGTTGATGATGATGATGAGACAGTCAATCGAATACAATTGTAACAGGTCAGAATTGAACTGTTTTATAGTGAAAAATATATATCTATTTCTAATCAATATCTCCTCAGGAGGAAAGTAAGAAGTTTATATGTTTACAAACTTTGTACTTCAAAGAAGTATGACTCACACATATTCTGAGTAGAATTTGGCCAAAACATGACATTCCACAGCTATGAGAGAGTTAATGATGTATGGTCACTTGGTCAAAGGTTGGTAACTCGACCCCCCCCCCCCCCTTCCAGAACACTTGTAATAACTTAGCCAAACAAACCCCTAATTGTATACATGGATAAAGAACCCCCAAAACAAAAGACTTCCTGTTTCCCTCCCAATGATAAGACCCTTTCTCGGAACAGATTGTGTATAGCTAGAACACTGTGAGAGTGTAACTGTTATAAAGGAAGGCAGAGGTATTTGACAGATTCACTCCTGCATCTGCACCCCCATCCATGGGGCAGGCAGGGAGGTCGACTCTGCAATCTTTTGGTGTAACATGTCATTATATAGGTAAGAAGATTATTCTTTTGTTAAGTTGGATAATTATTGAGATAATTAGTACTTTTGTAGATGTATTCTGATGTTAGTTAATAACCTTGGTATCGTTTTAACGATATAGTTTGTGTTGAACTAATATGCATTATGTAAGGTGTGGCATATTATTTGTTTAATCATCAGTATAGGTTGATTTCGTTAGTGAGTTAAGCACTAGATTAAGATTTGGTAATAGTAATTTGAGATGATTTGAATATTACTATGTTATCGGTTATATTACTTGTAATCTTTAGGAGTTTTAGTTATATAATGTGTTGTTGAGGTTAACTCTGGATAATCGTATTTTGCAAGACAGTTGTAATTTAAAGTAATGTTTTAGGAGTTAACAGTTAGCGGATATAGTCTGAATCTTTTTCAGTTTTCTGTTGTGGAATATAATTCACAATGATTTGTATTGATTATTATTCCTTCAGGTGTTGACAAATTACAATCAACATGTGAGAAGTGCGAACGAGAGGAAACGGTCCTCTAGGCCAGATTGCCAGGGTGAGTGGGTTATCATATTCAATGTATAAACCACTAATTCAATGTAGTTTTAATTGGGAAATTATGTATGATTGTTTGACAAAGTTCACTTGATGGTTGTATTCATTTATTTGTTGGGAAAGTTATCCATAAAGATGGAAGAACTTTATTTGTGATTAGATACTTGTTATTTTCATGCGATATTGATTAAGTTTTAATGAATGGAATATAAACAACCTGTTTATCATTTATTATCATGAGTCGGCTTGACGTCATATTGTTGGAATGCGTATCTTGGATTCATGAACGAATATTATGTTTATCGCTATTATGTGTGTTTTTCAAACATGTCCTCATTTCTATTTTAATTGTTTTAACTTTGTTTATTGGTTCAGGCTTTTACTTTGCACCTGAAATAAAAAGAACCGCAACACAACGAATGGTGTGATCGAGTATTTTCTACCAGTTTCTGCGTGTGATCGGCGTGTTACAAATGGCGTAATCGGCAGGATTTCATCACTGCAAGTGCAAGCCCTGGCTTTCTGTGGAGCTCGATAGTTTTGGGACAACTTGATCGGACATGGACGTCTGGAAACGTGTAAATATGGATGTAGATTTAAGTTGTAGCGATTGTGTGTATTGTATGAGTGTTGTAGCTAATTAGCCAGTGTGCTGTTTAATTATAAGGGGCTACATTGTGTTTGTTTAGGGTAATTTTATTGAAATTATCTCGTAATGGAATACTTTAATGTATTCAGTTTAAATTGTTTTGGGAAAATTAAGGAATAATACTATTCATATGTTGTGCAGACTGTCGTGATACTGTGTTTGGAACAATCCATACCCCCTTTCGTATTTAATTTTGGCTGGTTGGATGGAGCCTCAAATTAAGGGAAGGCATACAAAGACACCGGTATTTTATAATATTGATAGGAGGGATAGCAGTACATGTAGGTGTAGAGCAGGTATGAAGCTCTAGCTTTATCCCTTATGAATAGTTGGAATATTCCTTTATTTGAACTTGTAAATTGTTGAGATTTTAAGTTGGTCTTGAGATTCGTTAAAGTTTCGGTAACTTAAGGATAAGTTAGGTTTAGGTTGTAGTGTATGTATATCACATTTATTGAATTGATATGCATGATGTATATTTGTTAGTTTAAGGACTGCTTTTGAAAAAAGCAGGGGAGCCCATGAACGTGAAATGTTGTTTCAGTTTGGGTCAGCAATTGTTCAGAGTAACTATGTGCGTGTGTTGTGTAATGGATATTGTATTGTTTTATACCGAGATTTCTGGAATGTAACTGGGATTTGGCTGGAATTACTGTTGGACTTAGTCGGGATAGAGTATTTAATGTTTATTCCGAAAACCTCGACACGAGACCGGAATCATTCATGGTAGAAATACTGGGGCGACTTTTAGGAACAGTAGGGTTTATCTCTCTACCTTTGTTTTCTGTTAACCTTGTAGAGAGGCCGGAAATGGCACATTGGTAGCGGAGAGGATTAGTCAAAAGTTATAAGATTTCTTTGTACATTTCAATGTTGAATGTTTGTATCTTAATTAGGAGTTTATTGAGATGTGAAAGGAATATCCGTAGGGCAAGGTTGTTACGAAATATAGTTGATAGTTTTACTGCTGTATTTGCTAGAGTGTGTAAATTAGGTACTATAAGGACGATTATTGTTTTTGTGTGTTTAGAATGACACAGGGTAGAATAATTGGGTATACATATACCATGAAAATCATCTGGCTTGTTGGAGATGCCTGTAATATGAAGATTAATGTTGATAACTAAGGTTTGGCAGTAGAGACTCTGGAACTGTTAGGATCAGTTGGGTAGCACTTAGATAATGTGAATGCTAGGAGCCTCGACATGAGACCAGTATTACATAATAAGGGGTGCTAGAATGACTGAAACAGTTGAGTTTTTGCACTAGATATGTTTTCTGTGATTCTCGTCATGAGACCAGAAAGTTCGTATTAGTGGTGCGCGTTGGCCAATAATGTGTTATGATTTCAATTTTTATATTCTGTATTATGCAAAAAGATTTTTAATCACATGGTTAATTTTGATTTGCGTATTGGTAATTAGGCATCGGTATTAGGATCAGGAAACAGCCATGATGGGCAGAAGGTATAGTGGGAATTTAATATAATTTTTGTTGTAGTCTGAGTGTCGGGACGACACTCAATTAAGCAGGGGAGTGTGTAACAGGTCAGAATTGAACTGTTTTATAGTGAAAAATATATATCTATTTCTAATCAATATCTCCTCAGGAGGAAAGTAAGAAGTTTATATGTTTACAAATTGTGTACTTCAAAGAAGTATGACTCACACATATTCCGAGTAGAAGCTATCAATTTGGCCAAAACATGACATTCCACAGCTATGAGAGAGTTAATGATGTACGATCACTTGGGCAAAGGTTAGTAACTCGACCCCCCCCCCCCTTCCAGAACACTTGTAATAACTTAGCCAAACAAACCCCTAATTGTATACATGGATAAAGAACCCCCAAAACAAAAGACTTCCTGTTTCCCTCCCAATGATAAGACCCTTTCTCGGAACAGATTGTGTATAGCTAGAACACTGTGAGAGTGTAACTGTTATAAAGGAAGGCAGAGGTATTTGACAGATTCACTCCTGCATCTGCACCCCCATCCATGGGGCAGGCAGGGAGGTCGACTCTGCAATCTTTTGGTGTAACATGTCATTATATAGGTAAGAAGATTATTCTTTTGTTAAGTTGGATAATTATTGAGATAATTAGTACTTTTGTAGATGTATTCTGATGTTAGTTAATAACCTTGGTATCGTTTTAACGATATAGTTTGTGTTGAACTAATATGCATTATGTAAGGTGTGGCATATTATTTGTTTAATCATCAGTATAGGTTGATTTCGTTAGTGAGTTAAGCACTAGATTAAGATTTGGTAATAGTAATTTGAGATGATTTGAATATTACTATGTTATCGGTTATATTACTTGTAATCTTTAGGAGTTTTAGTTATATAATGTGTTGTTGAGGTTAACTCTGGATAATCGTATTTTGCAAGACAGTTGTAATTTAAAGTAATGTTTTAGGAGTTAACAGTTAGCGGATATAGTCTGAATCTTTTTCAGTTTTCTGTTGTGGAATATAATTCACAATGATTTGTATTGATTATTATTCCTTCAGGTGTTGACAAATTACAATCAACATGTGAGAAGTGCGAACGAGAGGAAACGGTCCTCTAGGCCAGATTGCCAGGGTGAGTGGGTTATCATATTCAATGTATAAACCACTAATTCAATGTAGTTTTAATTGGGAAATTATGTATGATTGTTTGACAAAGTTCACTTGATGGTTGTATTCATTTATTTGTTGGGAAAGTTATCCATAAAGATGGAAGAACTTTATTTGTGATTAGATACTTGTTATTTTCATGCGATATTGATTAAGTTTTAATGAATGGAATATAAACAACCTGTTTATCATTTATTATCATGAGTCGGCTTGACGTCATATTGTTGGAATGCGTATCTTGGATTCATGAACGAATATTATGTTTATCGCTATTATGTGTGTTTTTCAAACATGTCCTCATTTCTATTTTAATTGTTTTAACTTTGTTTATTGGTTCAGGCTTTTACTTTGCACCTGAAATAAAAAGAACCGCAACACAACGAATGGTGTGATCGAGTATTTTCTACCAGTTTCTGCGTGTGATCGGCGTGTTACACAATAATGATGCAGTCGAGGTCAATAGATCAACTTGCGATGCGGGTCGAAGAATCAAAATGTCAAGACAATATATATCATATGAAGTCGATGATAAAAGGTTGTCAAACAATAATGCAAGTGAGAAAAACGTGAGGTCATATTAAATGTTCTATTCTCACTGCTGGTGAATTAAAGTGTCGTCAATGCTGAACATCGAGAGAGTCAAAATATATCTTGCAAAACGTACAAAATGTAAATAGGTGAGCACGTCCACCGGGAATGGTCCGGGGACGTAGCAGTTCAATCCTCGTTGGATACAATTTTCTAGGTACAAATATCAACACAATAACAGCATGTGTGTATACCAATATTAAAACAGCTCACTGATTCCCGCACAGGAAAACCAGAAGAGCGCCAATCAACTACAGCGCGATTGGTTCAAAACAAGCGCACATGTATGTTAATAAGGCACGTGATCTAAATACTTGTGAATAAATACGCGTACATCTATGTTAATTGGTCATGTGATGAAAATACTAATGAATAAACATCGTTATATAATAAATCGAGTTAAAACCAGTTCTGAGGACATGGCGTAATACCAAATCCTCGAACTCTCAATGACTTCTAAAGCGGCCATTTTGTATTAAAACACAATATGTATACCAGTGAATTATAAATGAATGCACTGTAACATTAGTCGCTACAAGCTAGTGAATTACTGCATTATTCATGTATTTACCTTGTTATTTTACCGTTTTTAATGTGCACGTTTCTCTCCAGGTAGAACTTTTGGTTACAAACTATTCAATTCACATGTTATACTGGCATCTCTATAGATGGAATCCACTTTGTAAACAATAGTTGTTGATTGTCTGGCAAGCCTCTGGAAAGCTTTTGAGATGTTGATCAGTGTTGTATATTCAACTGTGTGGTGTTTCACCGTTGAGGGCATTATCATGATTCAAAGTTCGTGCAAGGGCGTCACGCAAACCCCAGATAAAATATCTTTTGAAATATTGTTTTTTCCTTAGGGGGAGGGGGAAGGGCGAGGGCGAAGGGGGAGGGGGTATGCGAATAGACCGGTTTGCTAATTACATATTCAAATTTATGGTTGTTTCTTTCCTGCATGGGGACCTATTGTGATTCCATTAACCTGTCATCAAAGAAGGAACTAAAATACCTGGAATCCAGTCTCCATACATTACTTTTTGTTAAGCCTCGGGCAAGCTCGGTGATTGGTTCAGATATTTTGTTACTACAGTATTCATATTATTAGCACCTTTACACTTCATAAAACATAAGGCATCATCACCATCATCATCTACATCAATATCAACATCTTAATTATCATCACCACCATCACTATCATCATTATCATCACCATCATCTTCATCACCACGACCATCATCATTACCATCATCAAAATTTTAATCTTCATCAACACCACCATCATCACCACTATCATCACCACACCATCATCACCATCATCATTACCATCATCACCAGCACCATCATCATCATCATTAGGCCTAATCATCATCATCACTATCACCATCATCACTATCATTACCACCACCACCACCATCATCACCACCACCATCGCCATCACCATCATCATCACCATCATTATCACCACCATCATCATTACCATCACCATCATCACCATCATCACCACCACCAATGCTATCATCACCATTGTCATCACCACCATCATTACCATCACCATCGTCATCATTTTCATCATCACCATCATCATCATCACCAACATCACCATCATCATCAGAATCCATCATTGCCATCACCATCATCACCACCACCACCATCATCATCACCACCACCACCATCATCATCATCACCATCATCATCACCAACATCATCATCACCATTATCATCAACATCATTGTCATCACCATCATCCTAATCATCATTATTATTATCACCATCATCATCACCATCATCCTAATCATCATTATCATCATCACCATCACCATCATCATCATCATCATCATAATCACCATCATCATCATCATCATCATCGTCACCACCAAACTCTAATTTTAATCACTTCTATCACCATCACTGACATCATTGCAATTCCGCTGTCGTTCAAATGCGAGTTTGACACCAAAATGTCACACCATGAACCATAAAATCAAGCAAAGTACAGTTTTATGGGTGAATTTTAATATGATAAAAGCCACAACCAATACAAACATATTACCATCTTGCATCTTACCATACCCTTAAATCAGAGTACTGTATTTAATTTCTAGCTTCATATTTTGCATGATTATTTCATTCCAACCGAGGACACAAATCCAACAAAACACTATCTGTTTTTCATAAGATACATCAAGATAATAATGGCTATTGCTGTGTAGGGGGACATGTAATCTACTCCCTCTTTTTTTTTTAAGAAAGGAAAAGAAAACCTTAGGTAACTGTATGAACAAATGAAGACAGTTACCAGAAGAAAAATTCCCTGAAGTAGTGGAATACCTATGGCACTGTCATTCCACAAAATTATACAATATGCTCCAATATGAGATAAAGAGCACAGTACATGTATGCTACATGCATTAACATGTTTGTTCTTTACAAATTCAACATGTCAAAAGTAGAAATGTCTGCATAAAAATATGGCAAGGAATAAGTATTTGGTCACAAATTTAGCAATGGAAACTTGCAAAGATACACAAACTTGGTCATGCAGGAGTCCCCTGTGCAATGCAACACAGACTGTTCACACCAAATTCAGGAAAATTCCCTTCCACAAAATTCAGGGGAATTCCCTTCCTTGGGAGCCCGAAGTGATGGGAAAATATCACACTCAGGATAGCTCCAAGCATAACCTCTGAGAGAGAGCGGAGAATCATCATTTTTGTTTGAGAAAAGCTTTAATTTTGAGAAATATCCCTCACAAAGGTAGATCTTTTGAAGTAGGCGACTGGTACATGCATTTTTAAGTAAGACCTATCAGTCTAAAACCTAAACCGCACGACTGCTCATTTACCATACTCCACAGGTTTACAGGGAAAATCAGCAGACAACATGATTTTTTTTTCTCCCCATAACAACTCCCGCGAGACCATCTCTTCAGATCATATGAGCAAATTTTGGATATCGTTCTTCAAGACTCAGACAAACAGTGAGTATTCTCATTAATAACAATTTGATCCGAAGCATCTGAAAGCCCTATACATTTGAAAATGTACATTGGTCACAGTTGAAGAAAGATAATATCATTGGATTTTCTTAGGAATGTTGCGATGTCAAAAAGGGAAATATATAGATATTTGTTACATGCCGGCTACAGCCCACAAGACCGACAGCCCACAAGACCGACAGCCAACTAGACCGACAAAATCAGTCTCATGGTCCTTTTAGTCACTTTTGACAGAGTTCTGGAGACCGACGGCCGGCGAGATTGCTGTTCTTCTATCTTCCCTTACGTATTTCTTTGTTTTGTTTTTTTGTCTCATTGGCTGACGGTCTCATTGGCCGAATGTCTCATTGGCCGACGCTCTCACGAACCTCCCTGGAAGTGAGAATCTGTTTATGGGCATTGACAGCAAATGAGCTCTTACCGTAATTGAAGTAGAATTAAGTCCTTAAGATATCTGAAACAGCGGAAGTCCCTTTTCACTGTTATACATGTATCATAATACTTCAATAGTAATGATCCATTACTTCGTGAAATATACCAATCAATATGAAATCTATTCAAACAAAACGTAAATTGCAAACACACTGAAAAACATAAAACATATTTCTGTCTTTAAAAAATGATAAAATATAATATGGTTTAATACATTCAAAGTGTAAAAATATAATACAAAATTATCCCCCCAAAATTGCCAAATGTGTCTTATAAAGGATAAAACAAGCCTAATATGTAATATCATTTGGGGTTCTTGCTTCTCAACTAAATGAATTATTCTAATAGTAATTTTCAAATGCAGCTACAGCAGCAAGCAGAAGTGGCTTTATCATGTAAATCTATCAGTCAAGCCTGCACAGTATATGTACGTGTATAAAAAGTTATCTAAACTACTCATTTATATATTTTTACAATATGTTCAAAAGCAACTACCGTACTCAAGCATAGTGTGATTATTCTACATAGCACATTTATATATGTTCAAAAAACAAATTTATACAACCGTAACACCAAACCCCTCTTCCAAATCATACCCAATTCTAATAATATCGACACAGATCATTCCAATACAATATACCATTATCTATAATTGACTAAAACAGTCATGAAATATTGTACAGGAAACTGAGAAATCCCACCACCCACATGCTACTAATTTGACCAAATACCTCTACTCGTAGATAATTGGTTCGCTTGATTTTTGGTCACAGTAATTGTTTGTGTTCTACAGAATTAGCATGAATGCCATTTTTCGGTTCCATTTTTACTGAAATTTGAGAATGTCAAAGGTTCAATACCAGACTACAGTCAAACCTGCTTTTAAATAGTGACCACCTGTCTACAAAGACCACATTTTTTGTTTCCCTTGAAAATGGTTTCTCATTGAAACATGTACTAAAGGAACCTGTACATAAAGACCACCTGCCTATAAAGAGCACTTTTCTTGTCTCCCTTGGGTGGTCTTTATAGACAGGTTTCACTGTACCAGACTATAGACTTTAAGTCTTTAAACACGAAACAGAGAAAGATATGTATAAAGACCGCTCAAGGGAGACAAGAAAATAGGGACTCTATAGACAGATGGTCTTTCTATACAGTGCGTCCCAGAAAAAACAAAACCGAGAATTATTGATGCTTTATCATATCGTCAACGAAATGGAGTCAAGTCTTTTGTCACCTGTTTGTTGCTATGGCAGTCAGCCAGTGAAAACGAATTCGTTTAATCAAATTATGGAAATGCAAGCATTACTTTAAATCAACAGAACTTTGTTATTCCTGGCTCATTTTTTCTGATTGAGG